AAGTCACTTTCTCTCTATCCAATCCTTCTCACATAGGCCTTTGGATCACCTTAAATGAAAATCATACACAGAGTGTAAAATCTTATGCATGTACAATATCTCTCTTCCCCCCTTTTGCACATTAGCATTTTCACAGCTGGTCTTCTGGTATATCTGCCTTGTTTTCCTCTCCAGCAGATACTGTTCCTCTTGGTTTCTTGTTTAATGAACTAGAGGTCTTTGACCTGTGAAATTCTATGGCGAGCCCTCAAAAATCAATACAGTAGAGAATTACTCAGTGCCAACAAATAAATTCTGGTAAAAGAGTAACCTCACAGTGTTTGGGACGTTGGGAGTTTTGAGTGAAGCTGAACTGACAACTTCAGGTTTTCCAGGAATCAGGGAAATAACAATCAAGTGAGAATATTTTTCTGGAGGACAAGCCAAGCCATATACCTTCAGAAAAATGAGTTTTCTTTGTGCATCTGGGGAAGTGAGATTGAATTTAGATATTGGTAAGGAGGGCAAATAGAAGTAGGCATATATCTGAGGTTCTAAACCTAAGAGGCTGAGCAAGAGATTTGGGAAAATCCTTAGTCTGATTTCTTTAAGTAGTCTTCAGCTATTCCTACCTGGTGCTGATAGCTGCACTGTTGATATATCCTTTTAATTTTTTCAGACCAGGCTCAGTGGCTTATACCTGTAATCCCAGTAATTTGGTAGGCTGAGTTGGGAGGATTGTTTGAGACCAGAAGTTCAAGAGCAGACTGGCCAAGACCCCCATCTCTACAGAAAATAAAAAACAAAAATTGGGTGGGCAAGGTGGCATGCACTTGCACTCCTAGCTACTTGGAAGGGTATGGTAGGAACATTACATGAGCCCAGGGGTCCAACGCTGCAGTCAACCATCATCCTGTCACAGTGCTCCAGCCTGGGCCACAGATTGAGATCCTGTTTCTAAACCAAACACATAAATAAATACATAAAATATTCATCATGATGTCCAGAGATTGCTCTGGAACCTACAAATAATTTCAAAAGTAGAAATCAGGCTGGGCAGTATGGTTTATGCCTGTAATCCCAGAACACTTGAAGGCTGACTTAGGAGGATCCCTTGAGCCCAGGAGTTCAAGACCAGCCTGGGCAACATGGCAAAACCCTGTCTCTATTAAAAATATTTTCAAAAATTATCTATGCGTGGTGGTGTGTACCTGTAGTGCCAGCTGCTTGGGAGGCTGAGGTGGGAGGATCACTTGAGCCCAGCAAGTCTAAGCTGCAGTGAGCCATGATCAAGCCACTGCACTCTGGCCCAGACAATGGAAGAGATACCCTGTCTCAAACAATAACAACAACAAAGTAAAAATCCACAGATATAGGTTGGTTCACCTCCAAAACCAAACGCTTCTTAAACGTGGCTCAGGTCTGTGTGGAAGACTGTTCTACCCAGGAAGAGGGCTATCACTTCAATCTATTTCTTACTAGTTCTTCATGTCCCACTGGATGTCTGCAGTTCCAACCACCCAGCCTTGTTCTTTAATACAGGAAGCCAGATTAGTTGTTGGTCTTTGTGTAAACCAGCATTTCAGTGTGAACTTTCAGAAGAGCTGGAAAGTAAAAGAAAGGCACTATCCACTGGGAAATTACCTTTCCCCACAATTGATATGTTGAAGCCATGCCAAATCTCAACAGTGATAGAGAGACATCCTCTAGCCTCTGAATATGCCTTTCCCCTCTGCCATGTGCTAAAACATGAAAATAAAAGTCATATGGCATCATGATTCATTGGGTAAAAGGAACACTATCGAGATGAAGGAAGCTACCTGAAGCAAGCAGAACCCACTCTACATTAGGAAGGGGATCTGCCTTGGCCAGATGCCCTTAGGGAGTAGCAAACATCTGCTCTGCTCTGCTCTGCTCTGCTCTGCTCTGCTCTGAGAAACTGCTATGAAGTCTGTTAGAATTTGGCACCAGCCAAACCTCTGGTAGCTTAAAGCCAGATAGAGAGGCAGTAGGCACGATTGTTCTGAGTCTTTGCCAGTCTATGTTTCCTTTTGTCCCCACCAGGCTTTAGAATTTTCTCTCTTTTTTCTGGGGGAGTTCCTGCAGGGAGGAGGACAGAAGATCAGTTTCTTTGCTCTGGGAAATCAGCTGGAGTTTTCTGACAAGAAATAATCCTTAAAATTAATACTTCTTAGTCTCTCCCCTTTGCCTTTCCAGAGTCTCCATACATAGTTACGGTCACACTTGATGCCATAACATCTTCCATGATTCTGATGGGCACTTTCTTGACAACCCTGGTGGCATCCAGCCTACTAAAAGTTATGCTGGTTTTGAAGGAATTTGAGCTCTTAAATTATCTCATTCCACATAACCTTATAGATCATGTAAATAGGGGGATCGCAAAAATAATATATTGTGTCATCGAAGATATTTTATAGTATTGTTTCCTAAATTAATATCTTATAAGTCATGTGCTTTTCAGATTATTATAATCTTCACAATGCTTTGTAAGATGGGGTGAGGGGAGTGGAAATATTATATATAAAAAACATATTTTTAAAAATCCAGGCATGGTGGTATTATGTATATTTATGTGTACACACACACACACATACACACACACACAGAGTCATGCACTTCCCAGATTATTGTGATCTTCAAAATGCTTTGCAATATGGGGTGAGAGGAATTAAAATATGTAATATATATAATATTTATGTGTATGTATACACACACACACACACACAGTATATATTTTTCTAACCTTTCTTATGAATTGCTTCCTGAGTTTCCGGTTTGAGTCATGATAGAAAAAAATCTCAAGTTCTGTGTGTAGGAATTTTAAGTTTTCTGCCTGCTGGTGTTCTTGAAATTGCTTTATGTATTCACAAGCTCTAGGAGTTTTGAGGAGAACAAGCAAGAGGCAGTTTATCCAATCCCACTCACCTACAAAAAAAAGTATATTTTTGATGTTTAGAAATGAAGCTTTATAGGGCCCACACATTATTGTATGCCTACAAGTTTTTAAAAATAATTTTTAACTATAATGAAGTTACATTACGCAGGTGGAAAATCAAAAGAGCAATTTGAAATCAAGTTAACTGCTATGAAACAGGATGACCTTTGCATGTACAAAGATACTGCATGCAGACTGTGAAAACAGCAAATAAAGCTTTGATGTAAGATAAAAATATTTTAACTGATAAATAAATACGTAAAAGTGCATTTTTTCCATGTATTTATTGGTCACTTGTATGTCTTCTTTTGAGAAGTGTCTGTTCAAGTCCTTTACCTGCTTTTTATTGGAGTTGTTTTGTGCTTGTATATTTCTTTAAATTCCTTGTAGATTCTGGATATTAGACATTTGTCAGATGCCTAGTTTGCAAACATTTTCCCTCATTCTTTAGGTTGTCTGTTCTGTTAATACTTTCCTTGGCTGTGCAGAAGCTTTTTGGTTTAATTAGATCAGACTTGTTTATGGTTTCTTTTTGGTCTATTTTTGGTATTTTGGCTAATTTTCTTTATGTTTATATAACTTTTGTCTATTTTTTTTGTTTTTATCTATTTTTCTATTTCTGATCTTTTTGTCTATTTTTGTTGTTGTTGTTATGTTTGTTATAATGGCTTTTGGTGTCTTCATCATGAAATGTTTGCTGGGGACTATGTCCAGAATGGTATTTCTTAGAATTTCTTCAAGGGTTTTATAGTTTTAGGTTTTACATTTAAGCCTTTAATCCATCTCGAGTTGAGTTTTAAATATGGTATAAAAGGTGTTCAGTTTCACTCTTCTGCATATGGCCAGCCAGTAATCCCAGCACCATTTATTGAATAAGGAATCCTTTCCCCATTGCTTGTTATTGTAGAATTTGTGGAAGCTCAGATGGTTGTAGGTATATGGCTGGGTTTCTGGGCTCCCTAACCTGTTCCATTGGTCTGTGTGTCTTTTTTGCTACCAGCAGCGTGCTGTTTTGGTTACTGTAGCCTTGTTTTGCTATGAGTAGCATTGTTTTGGTTACTGCAGCTTTTAGTAGAATTTGAAGTCACATAGTGTCAGAGCTCTGGTTTTGGTCTTCTTGCTTAGAATTGCTTTGGCTATTTGGTCCCTTTTCTGGTTCCTTATGAATTTTGGATTTTTTTCTAATTATGTGAAAACGGTTGTTGGTAGTTTGATAGGAATATCATTGAATTGGTGAACTGCTTTGGGCAGCATGGCCATTTTAACAGTATTATTTCTTCCTGTCTATGAACATGGAATGTTTTACCATTTGTTTGTGTTGTCCCTGCTTTCTTTGAGCAGTGTTTTGTAATTCTCACTGCAGTGATCGTTACCCTCCCTGGCTAGATGTATAGCTAGGTATTTTATTCTTTTTGTGGCTCTTGTGAATAGTATTACATTTTTGATTTGACTCTCAGCTTGGACATGATTGGTATATAGAAATGCTACTGATTTTTCTACATTAATTTTGTAGGCTAAAATGAGACTAAAGTTGTTTATATGATCTAGGAGCTTTTGGAAAGGACTATGGAGTTTTCTAGGTATAGAATCATATCATCTGCAAAGAGAGATAGTTTGACTTCCTCTCTTCTGATTTGGTTGTCTAGTTCTTTCTTTCTTTTTTCCTGATTGCTCTGGCTAGGACTTCCAGAACAATATTGAATAGGACTGGCAAGAGTGGGCATCCTTGTCTTGTTCCAGTTCTCAAGGCAATGCTTTTAGCTTTTGCGTATTTGGTATGGTGTTGATGGTGGGTATGTCATAGATGGCTCTATTATTTTGAGGTATCTTTCTTTGACGCCTAGTCTGATGAGGATTTTTAACATGAAGAGATGTGGAATATTATCAACATCTTTTTCTGTATCTATTAAGATGATCAAGTAGTTTTTGCTTTTACTTCTGGTTATGTGATGAATCGCATTTATTGATTTGTGTATTTTCAACATCACCAATCATTACAGAAATGCTAATCACAACCACAATGGGATACCATCTCATGCAAATTAGAATGACTATGATTTTAAAATGAAAAAAATAAATGCTGGTGATGTTGTGGTGAAAAGGGAACACTTATACACTGCTAGTGGGCATGTAAATTATTTTAGCCACTGTGAAGAGCAGTTTGGACATTTCACAAAGAACTTAAAACAGAGTTTACCATTTGATCCAGCAATCCCATTAGTGGGTATACTCCCAAAGGAATATAAGGCATTTTTATCATAGAGAGATGTGCATGCATATGTTTATCACATTACTTTTCACAATAGCCAAGACATGGAATCCACCTAGATGCCCATCAATAGTGAATGGGATAAAAAAAATGTGCCACATATACGTCATGAAATACTAAACAGCCATAAAAATGGTCAAAAGCAGGTCCATTGCTGTAACATGGATGCGACTGGAGATTGTTATCCTAAGCAAATTAACACAGGAACAGGAAACTTCGTACCACATGTTCTCACTCACATGTGGAAGCTAAACACTGAGTAAACACAGACACAAGGAATGTTAAACCCTGGACTCTTCTTGAGGGGGAAGGGTGGGAGGAGGATGAGGATTGCAAACTTCCTGTTGGTTACTATACTTACTACCTGAGTGGTAAAATAATTTGTACATCAAACCACAGCAAGTTGCAATCTACCCATGTACAAATTCTGCACATGCATCCCCTGAACCTAAAAAGTTGGAAGGAAAAAATAAATAAAATGAAACAATATTTGAAAACAAAAGAAATCCAGTTATTCACATAGAACAGAAACACACAGAACATATAAACTATATATTTTTTCAGTCCTGCCTAGGTTCTCTACTAAGTAGAACATTAACTGCATTATTTTTCAAAAGGGTGAAGAATCTCCCACCACCTTCACTTGACATGGGAGAAACTGCTGTTTGTAGCCCCAAAATGTGCGCTGGCCATGGCGTTAGCCTCAGTTCTGGCTACATCCATTCCTTAGGCTTTCTCTTACTCCTGTCTCAAATCCTTATAGAAAGGGATGAGAAGAAACTCCTGGAAGATATCATTGACTTTGCCTAAAAGTCATCGGTTTTTCATGTTGCTGGTTTCAGCACGGGCTCTTGGATTCCACAGGAATTCATAGTGTAGATGACCTCTGTTGTATACCTGCTGATACTCTGGGCACTTTTCTGTACCAAACTATTTTCTAGACCCTTCATATATGAAGTCATTCTCACAGCATACATCCAAATCTTATTCAGAAATGTTCAGATCTCTTCTGTGGTGCACTTACCCTTCATGAAGCTTATTTCCATAAGCATCATCAAGATACCACTTTAAGAAACTCTTTATCACCACTCAGACTCCTGTTGTTGGGGATATCCAGTTCACTGAAAGAAGCATTGAAATGACTGTTTTGTTAACAGCCCTCAGCAATGCTGATTGTAAAGGGCTCTTTTATTTTACACTACTGTAGCAGGAATACCAACAATCTTCCCTTATTGAATAGAAGGTCGCTGTGTGAGCTCAAGTGGAGGCTGCTACTGGAGAGGTGCTTGGCTTTTCCTCATTTTGGTTCTCGGCATCTTCATCAGATCTTGTGCATGAAACATCTACAGAAGCGGTGATGATGAAGGTGGCCCTCTGAGATTCCTGGAGAATGTCAGTAGCAAGATAGATCTGAGGAGCACTCCTCAAAACAGGACAAAAGGAGGAGAGGGACTCCTCCTCTTCTGCAGTGAAATGAGCACCCTGGAGACCCTAGTGGCATTTCTCATGAGTGTGGAACTTACTTTTCTGACCCTAAGGCATGACTATAGGCAGGGACAGCAGACAGAAGTGTGAATAGGATGGCTGCTGAGACAGGCACCTGGTGGAAGGAGAATGAAATAGTGTGAGCACCGTCAGCAGGGAGTGACCAGCTTGGCTTTAACCAAGGCTGCCAATCCAGGTTTCTGTGAAATCACTGCTCTAGAGCCCATGGGGCACTTGTTCTCCCAGTCAACCTGTCCTCTGAGAACCCCATGAAGCAAGTTAGAGTGAGTCTTAGGCTACAGCTTGACAGCCCAGCTTGGGACCTACTAGGGTGGCAGCTGAGACTGATTATGGGATTCTTTGTGTTTTGGGGTTGGAGAGTAATTTCAGTTGACATTCAGGATTATTATGCTAATTGTTGGCAGGGCCTGATACCTCTTTCTTGTGCTGCTCTGACGTTCACACTTCAAATCCCCCTGGAACTGAAAAAAGTAAGGGGGTGCCTCAGCCTACCTCCACTGTCAGGGGTGACAACTGTAGGGGATCCTTTCTGTCTTGGGATCACTAGATTTTCAGATCTTATTCTGAGTTCTCATCTTGGCTCTGCATAGGGCCTGGAACCCCTTTTCCGCTCTGTCTTGGCTTCACATTCTTAATAAGGATCTCACCTCCCTTGGACCAGTATAAAACACTGGGGAAGCCTCTACCTGACCGTCCTGCTATGGGCTTTGAAATGCTGAAAGCCAGGGTGAGGGCTGGACATTTTATTGCCCCTTCTATTGTGGGGAAGGAGTGTGATCACCTTGGTCTCCACCCAGGGTCCTCAATTTGACTCCTAGATGGACCTACAGCTCCTCTATTCTTTGACCGGAGGGTATTTCCTCATAGCTAGGCCCAGAATTCTCCATGACCTAGTAGAGTGAAAGTAGGGCAGCCTTATTTGGCCATACCTGCCTGTACTCTCCCAAGACAGAAAGCTGTGGCGGGCACTTTGGGGCCTCATGATGGTTGGCCTCACCAGTGCTCGCCCAGATTCTTCATTTTGACTCATGACAGTGCCCACAATTTCTCCCTTTCTTGACCCGTTACTGTCCCACTCTGAATAAGGCCCTCATTTCTCTGTCACTCTGAGAAGGAATTGAGGGGTGCTTTTGCCCTGCCTGACATTTCTCCCTCAATCTCCCAGGACTAACAGTAGGGGAGAGATGATATGCTGCCTCCATTGTTATGTTTCATGTTCTGCTCCTTCCTCATCATCCTTGCCCTGACTCCTGGCTCAAGCTGATAACGTTCTCTATGATGAGATGACCAGCCTCAGACCAAGCACTTTAGCCTGATGGCTCTTCCCTGGTCCTCGTAGGTCTGACAATAGGGACAGGACACTGTGCATTCCCTCTGTTCTGGGATGAGTGGTCTCTATCCTCCCTCAGTGTCTTTAACTTGACTCCTACCTAACCAAATCTGAAACTCCACCTTCCACACTGCTGTGTGCTTAAGGCCACACTGCTCAGACCAAGGCCATATCTTCCTGGAATGTCACAACTGGAAGTTAGGGACAGCCACATCTGGCCACAGTGATTCAGGATCTTCTGAGGAATAATAGCAGGGTCAGAATCCTTTTCCACTGCTTTGGAGTCAGTGGCTCCCTCAATTCTCACTCAGGTTTCTAACATTGATTGGGGGATGTGGAAGTCCTTCCTCTACTAATTTGAGTCTGTCAGCCTCAAGCCAAAGCTTGCCTTTTACTGAGAAACCAGAGAGGGACGTCAGGGTGCTACTTGTTGGCTACCTCAGTGTCCTCACCTTAAATCCAATGTAGGCTTGTTACGATCTCCTTCATGAGCAGAATCAGAGCTACTGACATGAGATCAAAGCCTTTATCTCCCTGAAGTACTAGTAGAAGCCCTAGGGAAAAAGAGGGGGAACCTCAACCAGATAGCCTTGACTATGGCCAGCCAAGGCAAAAAGAAAAATAAAGTTTTAGGAGTCCCTACTGTTCTGGATGGATCGTTCCTCATATTTCATTCAGAGTCCTCATCTTGAGAGTTTTCAGAGACTGATATCCTCTTCCCACTAACCAGAACACACCACCCTTAGATCAGGACTCTTTTATACATGAGAGACTTACATAAATAGAGAAATTTTAGCTTATAGCTATAGCTTGGGCCTTCTAGATCTGAGAGTAGGCAGGGCCTGGTCCTTCAGTGACCCCTATATTCTGAGGCATTGGTCTCCAGAATCCTCATTGATGGGGTTCTCATCTTCCTTTCTCTTTGACTGCTGGGAAATGTCACACAACTGCAAATTATTGAACAGGTTCCCTACTGCAAACCTTGCAGACAATGGCTCCCTGTCCCAGGTTTTGTATGAGACGGCGAAGCTGTACCACAAGCCAGGAGGCCCAGGACAGGTGGCGAACTATCAGTAAAAACAACACACTGATATATTCTTTTGCTTCAACAGCCAGATTTAGCCTATTATGTACTTTGCTTTGTGTATATTTAATTTCTGTGGGGAAAGGGAAGTGCAGGATGATTTGTGGAATTCCTGATCTTATCAGGTTATTTGATGTTGCATATGTAGATGATCATACTGTCACTGAATATTATCTTTTCTTAATTTCTACTAGTCATGTATTCAGCATTATTATTATTCTAGTTGTATATTCCAAAGAAGTGCTTTGGGTACTGTGTCCTTTTAATGCTCTGATAAACAGTTAGGGCAGTGAGAGGAAAAATGAATTAAAAGACACAAAGTCTGGCTCAGGCTGAGAGGACTGGAAAAATGTGGGCTCTAGGTGAATCCAGACCAGAGATCTAGTCCCAGCTGTGTCAATTACAAGCCTATGAACTTTTAGATATTTGCAATTTATTCATATTGAAGTGGGTCTGCTAAACCCTATCTTGTAGGAATTTTGGGGTGTAAGTACTATCTATAAAAAATAAGGCAGACTGAATTCTACCAGACATACAAAGAGGAGCTGGTTCCATTCCTTCTAAAACTGTATCCAACAATACAAAAGGAGGAAATCCTCCCTAACTCATTTTATGAGACCAACATCATCCTGATACCAAAACCAGGCAGAGACTCAACTAAAAAAGAAAACTTCAGGCCAATATCCATGATGCACATCAATGCAAAAATCTTCAATAAAATACTGGCAAACAGATTGCAACAGCACATCAAGAAGCTTATCCATCACGACCAAGTAGGCTTCATCCCAGGGATGCAAGGCTGGTTAAACATATGCAAATCCATAAACGTAATCCATCACGTAAATGGAACCAAAGACAAAAACCACGATTATCTCAATAGATGCAGAGAAGGCCTTCAACAAAATTCAACAGCCCTTCATGCTAAAAACGCTCAATAAACTAGGTATCGATGGAATGTATCGTAAAATGATAAAAGCTATATATGACAAACCTACAGCTAATATCATACTGAATGGGAAAAAGGTGGATGAATTCCCTTTGAAATCAGGCACAAGACAAGGATGCCCTCTCTCACCACTCCTATTCAATATAGTATTGGAGATTCTAGCTCTGGTTCTAGCCACAGCAATCAGGCAAGAAAAAGGAATAAAGAGTATTCAATTAGGAAAGGAGGAAGTGAAACTGTCTCTATTTGCAGATGACATGATTGTATATCTAAAAGAACCCATTGTCTAAGCCCAGAATCTTCTCAAACTGATAAACAACTTCAGCAAAGTCTCAGGATACAAAATTCAATGTGCAGAAATCATAAGCATTCCTATATACCAATAACAAACAAACTGAGATCCAAATCAAGAGAAAACTCCCATTCACAATAGCTACAAAGAGAATAAAATACCTAGGAATATAACTAACAAAGGATGTAAAGGACCTCTTCAAGGGGAACTACAAACCACTGCTCAACAAAATAACAGAGGACACGAAAGATGGAAAAACATTCCATGCTCATGATTAGGAAGAATTAATATCATGAAAATGGTCATACTGCCCAAAGTAATCTATAGATTCAACACCATCCCCATCAAGCTACCAATGACCTTCTTCACAGAACTGGAAAAAACCACTCTAAACTTCATATGGAATCACAAGAGAGCCTGCATAGCCAAGAGAGTCCTAAGTGAAAAGAACAAAGCTGGAGGCATCACACTGCTGGACTTCAAACTATACTACAAGGCTACAGTAATCAAAACAGCATGGTACTGGTACCAAAACAGAGACATAGACCAATGGAACAGAACAGAGGCCCCAGAAGCAACACCACACATCTACAATCATCTGATCTTTGACAAACCTGAGAAAAACAAGCAATGGGGAAAGGATTCCCTGTTTAATAAATGGTGTTGGGAAAACTGGCTAGCAATGTGCAGAAAGCAGAAACTGGACCCCTTCCTGTCACTTTACACTAAAATTAACTCCAGATGGATTAAAGATTTAAACATAAAACCTAATACCATAAAAACACTAGAAGAAAACATAGGCAAAACCATCCAGGACATAGGCATAGGCAAGGACTTCATGACTAAAACACCAAAAGCAATGGCAACAAAAGCCAAGATAGACAAATAGGATCTAATTAAAATTCAGAGCTTCTGTACAGCAAAAGAAACCATCATTAGAGTGAACCAGCAACCAACAGAATGGGAAAAAATGTTTGCAGTCTACCCATCTGACAAAGGGCTAATATCCAGAATCTACAAAGAACTAAAACAGATATACAAGAAAAAAACAAATAACCCCATTCAAAAGTGGGTGAAGGATATGCAGAGATACTTTTCAAAAGACATATATAAAGCCAGCAAACATATGAAAAAATGCTCATCATCACTCATCATTAGAGAAACTCAAATCAAAACCACATTGAGATACCACTTCACACCAGTTAGAATGGTGATCATTAAAAAGTCTGGAGACAACAGATGCTGGAGAGGATGTGGAGAAATAGGAACACTCCTACACCGTTGGTGGGAGTGTAAATTAGTTCAACCATTGTGGAAGACAGTGTGGCAATTTCTCAAGGATCTAGAAATAGAAATTCCATTTGACCCAGCAATCCCATTACTGGGTATATACCCAAAGAACTATAAACCGTTCTACTATAAAGACAGATGCACACATATGTTCACTGCAGCCCTGCGTACAATAGCAAAGAGCTGGTAGCAACCCAAATGCCCATCAATGATAGACTGGACAAAGAAAATGTGGTACATATACACCATGGAATACTACGCAACCATAAAAAACGATGAGTTCGTGTCCTTTGTAGGGACCTGGATGAGTCTGGAAGCCATCATTCTCAGCAAACTGACACAAGAACAGAAAACCAAACACCACATGTTCTCACTCATAGGTGGATGTTGAACAATGAGAACATGTGGACTCAGGGAGAGGACCATCACACACTGGGGGTAGTTGGGGGGGTAGAGGAGGGATGGGGGTGGGGAGGGTGCAGGGGATAACATGGGGAGAAATGCCAGATATAGTATGCACCTAAAGTAAAATAAAAATATAAAAATAAAAAATAAGGCATACTAAGTAGGAAATAGTAATAAATGGCAGTTACCATAATATGTGTTTTTACACAATATTAATTTTTAATTTTCCTAATGATATATTAAGAAACACAATTATCACATCTTGAAAGTGTCTGAAACAATAAAAGCCTATGGAAAGTTTTTAAACTTAGCGGCCTTGTTTCAAAAGGATTTTAGTGTACTCATTCTGGCTTACATTGATCACTGCATTTCATATGATTATTTTAAACCCAGAAAATACCACTCTCCAATCAGAGTTTTTTTGTTTTTTTATGCAGTCAGTGACAGAATATGAAGTGCAGTAGAACAAAACAAACTAACAGCACTCTGTAATAACCTAAATGAATCCAAGCATCCTTTATTTATATTAAAAGAAATAAGGAATAAGGCAAACCAAGAATTAGGCAACTTTTACATTTCCGTTTTTACTTTGCTTTCTCATCCTATTATGGTGTCAACTAGTTTACTGTGGAGTTCTTTAAGATTCATATCAAAATCCCTTCTCTATTACCATGTTATCTAGTTTTGAATTATAAAGAAAATATGAATGGTGTATGATTTTGTTTTATTAATACCAAAACCATAACTTCCAAATTGGTTAAACAGCTATGAATGTGAGAGCTATGTTACTGATACATTTATAGTATGAAGCAAAATAAACCTTCACTTAACAGGAACAATCTTGAAAATTAATAAAAGCAAAACATAAATCTGTAAGTTGCTCATGTGTAACAGGATAAAAGAAAGATACACATCTTTTTCCCTCCAGCCTCTACTATACTGCACTACTTATAAAGCTCACTACTCTCTTCTAGAATAAAGCACAAATTCTACTTCAGACTTCCCTAGAAGTGGATCTATAGGATATACTCCTATAAGGTTCCCTGGCCAAGAGAACAGTGCCAGCCCTGCCTTTAAGCTCTCAGTCTTAACGCTCTCTCTACCTCATCTATCAAAGCCTCTTCATACAGATGTGGGTAGGAACCGGGGGCAGTGTTATTGATACTGGCCAAAGCTCTCAGGACTCTCATCTTACTGGTTTCAGCATGGGCTCGTGGACCCCACAGGAACTCATAGCATGGAGGATCACTGTTGCACACCTGCCGGTACTCCAGGTACTTATCTTGCACCAAATCTTCTGTAATGATCTTCCGGGGCTCCCCATAGATTGAGTGCGTGATTCCGTCATAGATCCCCAAAACACCCAGGAAGTCCCAGACCTCCTTTTCAGTGGCACGGTTCCCTCTCATGAAAATGAAACTCAGGAGAGACACCAGGATACCCGACTTCGCCAGCCCATTAACACCACTCAGAATGCCTTCACCGGAGAGGCCCAGCTTGTTGACAAGGGTGTAGGATTCACCGCTGGAATCCATTTCTTTCAATTCAACGCCAAAAACCACTGCCAAATGGTTGGAGGTTTTCTTGAGGATCTCAGGCAAGTATTCCTTGTACTTTCTGCTAATACGCTTCAGCATGTCTGCCTTCAAAATGATCTCTTTCTTCTCAAACTTCTCCTGTAGGAATTGCACCAACGCACTCGCCTTCCTGTTTAGAGGATCTCGATCTGTGGTCTTAAAGAAGGCAGCTCTCTGGGAGGTGATTGCACTTTCCCCATCTTGATTCAAGCCAGCCATATCAGATTTTGAGCATGAAACGCCTGCATCAAGAGAGGCAGTGGATGAAACTCCCTGAGACCCCTGAGGAGTGGAGGCATCAGGGGAGGTGCTTGCATTTTTCTCATCTTGACCCTTGGCAGCCACATCAGATTTTGAGCATGAAGCACCTGCATCAAGAGAGGCGGTGGGTGAAACTCCCTGAGACCCCTGAGGAATGGAGGCATCAGGGGAGGTGCTTGCATTTTTCTCATCTTGATCCTTGGCAGCCACATCAGATTTTGAGCATGAAACACCTACATCAGGAGAGCCAGTGGGTGAAGCTCCCTGAGACTCCTGCGGAACGGAGGAATCAGAAGTCTTACAACGAGCACCCTGACAAACGGGATAAGAAGAAGAGGAAGAGCGGGGCTCTTCTTGCTTTTCTGCAGTGGTCTGGGGACCTGTGAGACCCTGAGATTGACCATGGGTCTCTCGGCGTTTCTCACGGGCACGGTGCTTACTCTTCTGTCCCCGAGGCATGATGGTTGTGGCCTGTGACAGCAGGTAGGAGTGTGGGCAGGAAGGCTGGCACCTGGATAGAAGAGAGTGACATCACATCAACACCTTCAGCGGAGAGCGATCATCTTGGCTTTAACCAGGGCCCATTTACAGGTTTTTGAGAAACAATTGCTCTAGGAATTCACAGGACTCCTATTCTCCTGGTAAGTTTGTATCCTTGGAACTCAGGAGGAAGTTAAGAGTGAGTATTAGACTGTAGCATGACAGCCCATTTTGGGGCTTACTGAGGTGACAGCAGGGGCTGGCAATGGGGGCCCCTCTGTTCAGCGCCTGATCCTCTATATTTGTATTCAGGATCATCATAAAAATTGACAAGACCCAGAGGCCCATGCTCCTCTGCAGCTCTAAAATTGACACTAGGAATTTTTACAATACTAACGAGGAGGAAATAAAGAAGCACTTCTGCCCAACATTTCATTCCAAGGACACCCAGACTGCCTATGGCCAACAACAGCAGGGACATTTGAGTGCTCTTGCTGTTTTAGTGAGAATTGTCCCCACGGTAATCAGACTCCTCACCCCGGCTCTTCCCACAACCTGGAAATCGCCCTCACTGACCTGCTGCCATCTTACAACCAGGGCCCTACTTCTCTGACGCTCACGGGAACAAAGTGAGAATGCACTTCAGTCTCTAGACACCTGCCGGGACCCCAGACTGACGTCAGCAGCAGAGTTCAGTGTCACTCCGTTCTGGGGCATGGAGTCCCCTCAATCTTAAGGAGGATTCTCTTTTAACTATGGAATGCCTGAGATTTCTCTCCCTCCTGATCTGAGTCCACCAGCCTTGGACCGAGGCCTTCATGCTGTTCAACCCGACGGAAAAAGTGAATGCACTTTGGGCCTAGCGGCCATGCTTGCGGACTCCTCAGGGACCGGCTCAGGGGCAAGATGGGACAGGGCTCTCTAGAGCCGCCTTTTTTTTAGGGAGAAGGGATTTACGGTTGTCGGGCAATGTCCCCCAGTTCTAGGTCAGGATACTCACTAGACAACTGAGATCTAGGATGCCTCTTTCTGCAGACCTGACACAGCGCTTTTCAGACTGAGGCTCTGGCGCAACAGCCTTTTTCGGCGGAAGTTGGGGAACCACTTCCGGCCATGCCCCCCTGACCTTCCCAGCATAACAGCAGGGGCGGGGCTCTGCCACTCTCCGTGTGTTCTGTGGGTGGGGTGACTCCCGGAAAATTCACATAAAATTCTTTCTGGGGCTATTAGTGGACCCTTGGACTTCTCTGACTACTGAGCTTAATCAGTCAACAGGAGATCAAAGATCTCATTCCCTGAGAGTCCAGAATAGGAAGTAAGGTGGAGCCTGAACCCGGAAGCCATGCCGGGACCCTCCAAGACTGACAGTAGGGGTGGGGCTTCATGGGACCCCTTCTAGTACTCAGCAACAACAATGATCAATAGTTATAGTAAGAAGATTGATTGGATAAAGGTTTATTTATTTGTTGGTTTGTTGGCAAGACCACTCTAAAGGCAACATTGTGTACTTCAATTAAGAGATACACAATGTCTGTTATCACCTTTGTGGTCATGTTGGCGGTCATTGAGGATTACCACTTTATCAACTAATCCATTAGGGGCTGCAGAATGGTTATTCTGTCTAAAATAGTTCTATACTTAGAACCTTTTTCTTGTCTGCTATTTGTTTTCCTGATGTAATGGTAAATGTATTTATTGTGTTCTCTTATAATCTTTAAAACTCTTCTGTACATAAATTTTCTAGTTTTATTTAACTAATATCACTTATTTCCATTTTTTTTCATAATAGATAACACTTAAAGTTTTTTATATAAATCTAATAAATGTTATTGAAATGTCATACTATATAAACTGTTATATAAATCTTTTGAATAAACTGGCTTTCATTAGTTGACTGTACTGTTTCTTAATTCATCATTTCTGCATTTATCATCATTATTTTCTACCTTTTACTTATTTGGGCATATTATGCCATTGTTTCTGTAGCCTTTGAATCATTTGTAGGTTTTACTTTTTTTGATAAATATATTTAAAGTTATAATATTCTTTTCAGTACCATTTGGACTTTTTCGCATAGTAGTACTATGGCACTTTATGTGTAGCATTCAAAGATTGTAAAAGTTCAATAAATCTCTCCATTATGCTCTTAGAATTTTTGAATATATAAAATATGTATGTATATTATACACTTTACATTTATATATAAAATACATATTTATATAACAGAATTTGAACACAAACATGTACATACATGCATGCACACATACACATTTACATGTAATAGTGTTTTTTTCTAGAAGTGAAATGATGGTTTCTTATGAAGAAATTAATCAATATAATTGGCCAACTCTAACAGTCAAAGATTATCCAGGAAACAGGAACCACTCTAAATGCAGGAAATAGGTTCCTGGAGAAGTCAGCCAATAACAGTGGAACAAATAATACCTATCAACTCAAGGAAGGCACTCCGACCTCTAAGCTGGAGGAAGAAAGAGAAAATACATTATTACTGAAATGTAGGAGTTGTGGTCAACAGGATCGGAAATCATGGCTGACAAATAATGAAGGAAATTATAGCCATGGAGAAGATGTATCCATTGAAGAAGCCACCTGCTGCAGGGAGAAAGAAGGTAAAAAACTTTGGGCACTTCTAGTCTCCTGAGCTTTCATCTCCAGCTTTTCCACTTTTTGGCTGAACTGAGCTGACATCCAGGTGTTGAAGAGCACAGAGCATAAGAAATGGGAGTCAGGCATTTTATAATGGAGAGTAAAGAAGGGGAGGCTTGAGGAATACACCTCAGGGCAAGAAGGTCCAAGGACAGACATAAGTCAGAGACAGCATAGATGAGAAAAATTACATATAAACCAATACAGAATAATGTTTTAAACTAACGTTCATTCATGCTTAAAAATACATATTTTAAATCTGGCAAATAATATATACAAAACAACAGTAAACATCATATGTAATTTGAAAATATTGAAAGGTTTTACTTTAAAATTAGAATATAGAAAAGGATGCCTTATGTCATCATTTCTATTTAACTTTTTAATCAAGATACTACATAGTTCTTTAATAGAAATTGGAAAAATAAAAGGGATAGAGATCAGAAAATTAAAAGGACAATTACTATCATTAATAGATTATTATAAAGTAGGTGTGTGAATACTAACGAAAAACTATCAATAAAAGTATTTTTTAAAGTTGGTGCACATAAGGGCAAAATATAAACATGTATTTTGTTTCTGTAGCAACAAACAATATAAAAATGAAATTAATCAAAATATCATCAAAATACTAGTGCCTATTTATATGACTATATGTAATCTGTACATATACAGCTATTTATATAAATAAATAAAAAGTAAGTACACAGAGAATGGTTATACATTTATGTAAAGAAAAATTCAATATTATAAACATGTTCATCCTCTGCAAATAGAATCTACAGTATATGATTCTGTCAAAGAAACTCAATAGATTTTTGTGTATGAAAATTAACAGGCTGATTCTAAACTTAAATTGACTTGCAAATCGCCAAAATATAAGAGGACTTACTCTCCTAGATGTTAAGAATTTTTTAAAAAACTATAGTAATTATATGGATTTTGTTCCTCATTTGGTTAATATGATATATCACATTTATCGATTCTTGTATGTTGAACCATTCTTGCATCCCTGGAGTGAATCCCACTTGACCATACTGAATGATCTTTTCTGTTGAATTAAGTTTGCTAGTATTTGGTTGAGGATTTTTGCATCTGTGTTCATCAGGAATACTGGTCCATAGTTTTCTTTTCTTCCATTGTTCTTGCCTGGCTTTGGTACTAGGGCAAATGCCAGCCTCATAAAACAAGTTGAAAGTGTTTCCTCCTCTTCAGTTTTTGGGAAGAAATTGAGAAGGATTGCTATTAGTTCTTTAAATGTTTGGTAGAATTCAGCAGTGAAACCATCAGGTCTTGGGCTTTTTCTGCAGACATACTTTTAAATTACTGATTCGATCTCCTCACTTGTTACTGTTTAGCTCATATTTTCTACCTCTTCCTGATTCAGTCTGGATAGATTGGATGTTTCTAGAAATGCATTTATTTGTTTTAGTTATTCAATTTGTTGGTGTGTAATAATAATCTCTTATGTTCCTTTTCGTACTTCTGTGGTGTCAGATATAATGTCTCCTGTTTCATTTCTGATTTTGCTTATTTTAATTTTTTAAAATTTGTTAGTCTAGGTTTGTTGATTCAATTTTGTCTTTAGCTTTTCCAAAAATGATCATCTTGATGGATACAGAAAAGGCTTCTCACAAAACTTAACATCGTTTCATGATAAAACACTCTCAATAAAGTAAATATTAGAAGAGAAAATGACTGATTAAATGCAGCCAGGAAGTGCCATTCCCACAGAGAGAGACCACAGTTTTGACTACACCAACATAATTTGAACAAATCTTTGGAGAGAAAATATTCAATGTTGATAGAGAAAAGATTCAGTTGCTGAAGCTGAAGAGAGAGAGAGCTAGAAATTCCACGTGGGGTGCCTGAATGCTGTAACTGGTTCCTAGCCCAGAACTGTGCCTGGGGAAGGGGTGAGTGAAGGGACTAGGGGACAGCTTACTCCCACCACAGACCTCTGGGATTCTAGCTGCAGTGGACCCAACACCCTGACAGATGTATGAGCTGGCAAGATCTTCCCAGAGACTAGACAAAGACAAAGCTGCTACCTACCAAAAAAGGCCCTGGACCAGGATTCACAGCCGAAATGTACCTGACACACAAAGAAGAACTAGTACCAATTCTACTAAAACTATTCTAAAAAATCAAGGAGGAGAGGTTCCTCCCTAACTAATTTCTATGAAGTCAGCATCAGTCTGATACCAAAACCTAGCAGAGACACAATGAAAAAAAAAAAAAAAAAAAAAAAAACTTTAGACCAATATTCCTGATGTACATGGATATAAAAATCCTCAACAAAATACTAGCAAATTGAATTCAGGAGAACATCAAAAGTTTAATACACTATGATCAAGTAAGCTTCATTCCTGGGATGCAAGGCTGGTTAAGCATATGCAAATCACTAAATGTGATTCATCACATAAACAGAACTAAAAACAAAACCACATGATGACCTGAATAGGTTGAACAAAAGCTTTTGATAAAATCCAACATCCTTTCATGTTAAAAACTGTCAACAGACTAGGCATAGAAGGAATCTACCTCAAAATAATAAGAGCCATCTATGACAAACCCAGAGCCAACATCATACTGAATGGAAAAAAGCTACAAACACTCCCCTTCAGAACTGGAACAAGACAAGGATGCCTGCTCTCACCGCTCCTATTCAATATAGACTGGAAGCCCTGACCAGAGCAATTGGGCAAGAGAAAGAAATAAAGGCACCTAAAAAGGAAAAGAAGAAGTCAAACTATATCTCTTCACTGACGATATGATTCTATACCTAAAAAATCCTAAAGAATCTTCCAGAAGACTCCTAGAATTGATAAATGACTTCAATAAAGTAGCAAAATACAAAATCAATGCAAAAAAATTAGTAGAATTTCTATTCACAAAAATGTTCAGGCTGAGAGTGAAATCAAGAACAAATTCCCATTCATTGTAGTCGCAAAGAAAATGAAATACCTAGAAATACAACTAACTAAAGAGGTGAAATATCACCACAAGGAGAACAACAAGACACTGCTGAAAGAAATCAGAGACAATCCAAATAAATGGAAAAGCATTCTATGCTCATGGATTAAAAGAATCAATATTCCTATCAAACTTTGAATATAATTCTTCATAGAATTAGAAAAAGCTGTTATACAACTCGAACCAAAAAATGTCTGAGCAGCCAATGGATTCCTAAGTAAAAAGTACTACGCTGGAGGCATCACACTACCTGTCTTCAAACTATACTGTAAAGCCACAGTAATCAAAACAGCTTGGTACTGATACAGAAACAGACACATAGGCCAATGTACCAGAATAGAAAACAGACATACAGACACATACCTACAACCACCTTATCTTTGACAAGGCTAATAAAGAGAAGCAATAGGGAAAGGACTTCCTATTCAATAAATAGTATTGGGATAACTGCCTAGCCATATGCAGGAAATTGAAGCTGGACCCCTAACATTTACCATATACAAAAATTAACTCAAAATGGATCAAATATTTAAATGTAATACTTCAAACTATAAAACTCTTGGAAGACAACCTAAGAAATACTTTTCTTGGCATTTAGCCTTGGCTAAGTCCTCCCCTCCAAAAAAAAATGCAACAAAAACAAGAATAGATAAGTGGGACCTAATTAAACCTAAAAGCTACTGCACAGCAAAAGAAACTATTAACAAAGCAAGCAGACAAGCTACACCAACAATGTTCAGTCTGAGAGTGAAATCAGAATGGGAGAAGATATTCACAAACTATGCATCCAACAGAGGCCCAATAGCCAGAGCCTATAGGGAACTTAAACAAGTCAACAAGTAAAAATCAAATAACCTCATTAAAAAATGGGCAAAGGACATGAACAGACTGTTCAAAAAAGAAGTCACACAGCTGGCCAAGAAACATTTAAAAAATGCTCATCATCACTAATCATCACAGAAATGCAAATCAAAACCACAGTGAGATACCACCTCATAGCAGTTAGAATGGCTACTATTAAAAAGTCAAAAAAAAAAACAGAAAAACAAACAAACAAAAAAAAAACAGATGCTGGCAAGGCCACACAGAATAGGGAATGCTTATACGCTATTGGTGGAAATGCAAATTAGTTCAGCCACTGTGGAAAGCACTCTGTAGGTTTCTCAAAGAACTTAAAACAGAGCCACTATTAGACCCAGGAATTCCATTACTAGGTATATACCCAAAAGAAAATAAATCATTCTAAAAAAAAGACACATGCACTCATGCATTCATCACTACATTATTCACAATAACAAAGGCATGGAATTAACCCAGATGCCCATCCGTGGCAGATTGTATAAAGAAAATATAGTACCTATACACCATGGAAAACTACCCAGCCATACAAAAGAATGAAATAATGTCCTTTGCAGCAACATGGACAGAGCTATAGGCCATTACACTAAACAAATTAATGCAGGAACAGAAATCCAAATACTATATGTTCTCATTTATCAGTGGGTTCTAAACATTGAGCACACACAAACTTAAATATGGGAACAGAAGAGACTATGGACCACTAGGGGTTATAAAACTACCTACTGGGTACTATGCTCACTACCTGGGAATTCATAGCACCCCACTGGGTACTATGCTCACTACCTCACTACCTGATGGAATTCATACTCCAAACCTCAGCATCGTGTATAATTTCCATGTAAAAAAACTTCGTATGTTCTCCCTGTATCTAAAAAAATAGTTTAAAAATAATAAGTATAGAAGAAATAGACTTCAACACAATAAAAGTCATATATGACAACCCTACCTCTTACATTATAGTAAATGATGTTAAGTTACAAGTTTTTTCTAAGATCAGGAACAAGATAAAGATGCCTATTCTTGCCACTTCTATTGAACATAGTATTGGAAGTCCTAGCCAGAGTAATTAGAAATGAAAAAGAAATAAAAGGCATCCATATAGGAGAGGAAGAAGTGAAAATATCTGTGCTTGCTGATGATATGATCTCATATATAGGCAACCCTAAAGACCATCATAAAACTTGTTAGTACTAATAAATTAATTCAGTAAGATTTCAGGTTACAATATCACATATGAACTCAGTAGCATTTCTATACATTAACAATGAAGTATCCAAAAAATGAATTAAGAAAACAATTTCATTTACAATAGCATCCAAAATAAAATATTAAGGAGTAAATTTGACAATAGAGGTAAAAGAGCTGTACACTGAAAACTATAAAACATGGGTAATAGAAATTGGAGAGATTCAAGTAAATGGAAAGATATCCGGCTTTCATAGGTTAGAAGAATGAATATTGTTCAAATGTCCGTACTACCCAAAGCTCTCTGCAGATTCTATACAATACTTATCAAAATACCAATGTCATTTTTTAGAGAAATAGAAAAAGCAATCCTAAAATTTATATGGAACCAGAAAAGACCCTGAAAAGCCAAAGCAATCTTGAGCAAAAAGAACAATGATGGAGCCATCCCACTCTGATTTCAAAATATATTATAAACTTATTATAATCAAAACAGTAGGATACTGGCATGAGACAGGCACATTAACCAGTGGAACAGGATAGAAAGCCCAAAAATCAATTCAAATACTTATGATCATTTGATTTTCGACAAAGTTACTAAGAACACACAATGGGGAAAGAGATTTCTATTCAATAAATCGTGTTGACAAAACTGGTTATCCACATGCAGAAGAATGAATTCAGACCCTACTTTCACACAATATACAAAATAAACTCAAAATTGGTTAATGAATTAAGTGTAAGACCTGAAAGTGCAAAGCTCCTAGAAGAAAACAGGAGAAAATCTTTGTGATATTGGTCTGAGCAATAATTTCTTGGATAGGACTCCAAAAGCACAGACAATAAAAACCAAAATAGACAAATGGAAATGGGCTTGTACCAAACTAAAAAGCTTCTGCATAACAAAGGAAAAAAAATAACAGGGTGAATGTGTAGCTCTCATGAGAGCAACCACAGGGGTTGAACCCTGCAAAACCACAAGGTTGGAGCTTGGGAGCCCACCCCTTGTATCAGAGTGCCTTGGATGCAGAACATGGAGTCAAAAAAGAGTATTTTGGCCCGGCAGGGGGGATTGCACTTGTAATCCCAGCACTTTGGGAGGCTGAAGCAAGCAGATCACTTGAGGTCAGAAGTTTGAGATCAGCCTGATCAACATAGTGAAACCCCGTCTCTACTAAAAAATACAAAAATTAGCTGGGTGTGGTGGTGTGTGTCTGTAGTCCCAGCTACTCAGAAGGCTGAGGCAGGAGAATTGCTTGAACCCAGGAGGCCGAGATTGTGTCACTGCACTCCAGCCTGATGCCTGGCTACAGAACAAGACTTTCAAAAAAAAAAAAATTACAAAGTTAGCCAGGTATGGTGGCACACACCTGTAATCCCAGTAAGGCTGAGGCAGGAGAATTGCTTGAACCCGGGAGGCAGAGGTTGCAGTGAGCCAAGATCCTGCCATTTCACTCTAGCCTAGGCAACAAGAGTGAAACTCTGTCTAAAAAAAAAAAAAAAAAAAAAAAAAATTTGGAGCTTTTAGTCTTAATGACTGCCCTGCTAGGTTTCTGACTTGCATGGGGCCTGTATTCCCCTTCTTTGAGCTGATTTTTCCCTTTTGGAATGGGAGTATTTAACCAATGCTTTTCCCTCCATTGTATCTTGGAAGTAACGTTTTTTTTTTCATAAGTGGAAGGGACTAGCCTTGTCTCAGATGAGATTTTGGACTTTGGGCTTTTGAGTTAATGCTGGAATGATTTGAGACTTTGGGGTACTGTTGGGAAGGCATGATTGGATTTTGCAATGTGAGAAGAACATGAGATTCGAGACGGGCCAGGGATGGAATGATACAGCTTGACTATGTGTCTCCACCCAAATCTCATGGTGAAATGTAATCCCCAAGGGTAGAGATGAGGTCTGCTGGGAGGTGATTAGATTATGGGGGTAGATTTGCCCCTTCATACTGGCCTGAGTTTTCATGAAATCTGGTTGTTTAAAAGTGTGTAGCACCATCCCCTTCTCTCTCTCTTCCTCTTGCTTCAGCCATGTAAGTCATGCCCGCTTTCCCTTCACCTTCCACCATGATTGTAAGTTTCCTGAGACATCCCCAGAAGCACATACTGCCATGCTTCCTGTATAGCCTATAGAACCATGAGCCAATTAAATCTATTTTCTTTATAAATTATGCAGTCTGAGATATTTCATAATAGCAATGTGAGAACAACCTAATACAGGCCTGCTTTTAGTACTTTGACCAGAGTCTTTTATTTTTTAATTTTTTTCAACTTGCTCAGTGCTTTATTGAACCAAGGCCCTAACAAATGAGTCAGCAGGTCTTTCAAGCATAGCCCTGCCCCCATCTTGAGATTCAGAATCCAGAGGGTGCTCAGTCCTTGGTTTAGCTGCTTCTGTGACATTTCCTCTTGAATAATTCCAAACCCTAAGTGTAAAGATTTTTGTCCACACAGACACACATATATTCCTGCTACAGGCTGTCATGCTCACCAAAACGCTCCCACCCAGTTTGGGTGTGCAAGGCACTGCTCATCCATGGCCATCCACCCATCCATCCATCCAAACTTCCATCCATCTGCAACAAGACAGCAGCAAGTTCTGACCAGTCAGTCCCCAGGGTTCACAGCAGTAGGGGCTGGGCTTCCAGCAGGCTCATGATTCATGTCTTAGCTCTGGCCCTGGGAGCGCCCAAAGATAATAACATCCCTTTCTGGGGCAACAAAACTGACCAACTGGGCAACTGATATTTGACAGGGAAACCTAAACAGCCTATGAACCTGTCCTGAGATGGGTATAAAGTCAAATAGACCATGCACACAAGTAACACTGAGAAAGGAAAGAGTAAGAGCTTTTGTTTAAGCTGGAGGTGCTCTTATGGCAGGACAGGAAAGAGGAAAAGAGAAAGGGGCAACGTGGGAGACATACTATGGTTCCTACAGATGTTAGGGGCAGCCCTGGCCCAGGAAGTACACAGGGCAGAGAGCTGACTCCCAGGCCAGGAAGGAGTTTAGCTCTGACCCATCCTCAGGGACTATGGCTTTCCCCCAGCCTCAGCTGACACACACACACACACAAGCTTTTCAGGATACAGGAAGATGAGGGGTTAACCCTAACAAGGAAGCAAGAAGCTCCTGGAGGACACAAAATACTGCCTTTAAGCTGGCATTAACCCAACTTAACTAACTCAACAGACTGGGCTCTTCCGGGGTGGGAGTGGGGCACCAAGTTATGGAAAATGATGGGATGACACGGGAATCAGAGCTGGGGCAGACAGAACACCCACACCATCATTCCCATAGTCAGCACCTGAGACCTTCAGCAGGTCCTCAGCCCGGCAGGCCCATAGGGCAGCTGGCTCCAGACCTCAAAAGGAGCGGAGGTGGCAGGACTGATGCAGGCCCCTCACTGGTCCTGCAACCAGAGGCAGAGCTCCCAGCAGCTCTACTCTCCAGCCCAGCTGCATATCCTGAGGAGGAATGTCTTTAGCCCATCCTTGAAGGCCTTGTGGCTCATGGGCCAGTAGTCCTGGTGGTCATAGATGTTTGGATGCTGAGGGAAGAACTCCTTCTAGCTGCCTTTCAGGATATACATCTTGGGATAGTAGAAGCTGGGGTAGTCATTGACAGCACGGTCTCGTTCCTTGATGAAACGGCACATGTGGGGCTTGCACTCAAGTGAGAACTTACAATGGAAAATGAGAATGACTCTCTTGCCCAGGTTATAGGGTGTGATAGGGGTCTGTAGCAGGAAGCTCTAGATGTTGCGTTCCAGAAGCAAGTTCACAGCAGTCTTGATATGCCCTCCTTCATACTCATAGGGGTATCTGCAGTCCACAATCACAAATTTATCCATGATGTTGCTGAACTTGCCCATCAACAGGGCCACCATCATTTCTGGTGAGATGTACTTGAGGTCTTGGTGCTTTCAATCTACAGTCTGTAGGAGGAAGGTCTTACAGTAATCTCCTATCAACTTTCATTGGTCACTGTCCAGGAGGTTCTCGATCTCATCATGACACAGTGATTTTGAGTGGAGGTCTTGGGCTTTAGATTCCTCATGCTCTTGCTGCTCCTCTGGATGGGTCATGCTTCACCTCTGCTTATTCTGCATGGGCGTGTCCCTGTCCTGGGGCTGCTCCAGCCTCTTGAGGATGGGCCGGATCACACTGCAGGGCAAGGACATAGAGCAGAAGAGCCACTGGCACATGCTGTACATGCCGAGACCCTGCTCCTCCTCCTTTTCCAAGGTATTGACCAATGGGGTGTTAAAGAGACTCTCCATGCCTGGGGGGAGTGCATCATCACCCTTTAAGTCACTCTCTAGGATGTCCACAAATCCATC